TTTTTTTCGCTCAGTGTACGCAAGGACCGGGCAAGTTCTCGATTTAAGGGAATTTGCTCTACAATTTGTTCTTTTGCTGTTCGTTTTTGTTCGTTCAGCATCTGCTATTTCTGTAGGCGAGGGCCAGCCTTTTGGCGCATGTGCTAATCGCTAATACGAAGTGAGAACAACTGATATCCCCGCTATGCCAAACCTGGGTTTATTTTTTTGTTTTTAAGATCCTGCATGCTCTTTGGGGATGTTCATTCATATATACATACATACATACCGCGCATTTACTAGATGGCTATTGATAACTAAAAAAATGTTTTTCAGGAGACTCATTTGGAGTTTTTACACAATATAGCGATCAGTTCTGCATCTTTTGCTACAAAATTTACTTTTTTGAATTATAAGTCCTTTAGTAATTGAACAATATATTATTATATGCGCTGCATAAATTTGACTAGACGATAGCCTGACACGATGCGTCCGCCAGGAAAATATTTATGAAAATTCAAGTGATGTCGCTAGAAGACCTTGGCTAACTCATAAGCAACATCATTTTCGGAAATGTTGCAGTTAGCAGAGATCAAAAATTACTATTGACTTTATTATTGTTTAATTTCTGCACTCCTTACTCATTAACAATTTTGTTTTAAAGAACGTCAGATCGATGAAAGCCTGCCTGGCTGTCTGAGAAACTGGACACAAGTTTACCACATCTACTATGCTTTAAAAGCCTGACTGACTTCATCCATACCAACAATGGAGAAGGCCCGCGAATGGCATGTGGAGTTCAATCTTTATAGATATACTCGGTGCTGTGATTTATGTATCTTAGACGGCATTACTGCAGATACAGAAGCGTTAAATAATACGTAAAGGTCTATAAGAAATAGGTTTTTCTAATATGGAAGTTTCACATTGAACATTAGACCTCCAAAGCACTGGCGGTATTCTTTAATAAAATACGGTTCCGTTACCAAGTTGTGTTCTCTGGATCTTAACTACTTCCAGTCTCAGACTGCAGATAACTTGATAGACTTTTGACAGGCCAATGCTCGTTTCAAAAACACCTTGCATTGATCGGCATAGATGACAACCCAATTTCTTTGATTTTTAAATGACAGCCCTTTAGTTAAAACCGGGGTTTTCATCGGTAGTTAGCCGATGATGTGACTTTACATGCTCTGTGGATTATTTTGATACAATTTTTTGGTTTAGGTACGAGCTACCACATAAAATTATACCTAAATATAGTATTCTATTAACTTTTTAACCGAGTTCAAGGAAAAGGAGGAGGTTATTAATTCGTCGGAATATTTTTTGTTTTTTGGTATGTTGCCGCATAACTTACGACCACGTTAAGCGATTTCTTTAAATTTTTTTAAAGGAAAGGGAATTGAAATCGGCTTTGTTTTTCGCTTAAAAATTACTTCTTAATATATTGCAAAGAAGCTGGGTATTTACCTCTGGAAATTACTTCCTTTTTAACAACGCTGTAACAAAATGCTGTTCCATTGGACTTTGCATGCTGACGCAATTTTGTTGATCAATCAAAGATTTTTGCTATCCACGATACAACATATGTCAACTAATTGGGTCTGCTTAAAAAGTAAAATTATTTTTT